CTCCCAGAGGAGTTGCCATCCAAAAAACCTCATTCAAAGTGCTGATGAAAATGTAAGAGGGAGAAAAGCGTTGCTGATTATTTTTTGTTTGGTTTTATTTTTTTTCCTAATGTTTCACCCATTACTGCTGTGAGACACATACTTGCAAAATTAGGCAGGGGAAGTGAAGAATGCAAACTCAGCACTGTCTTATGTAGCAGACTGGTATTTAACCATCCCAAAAGGAATAAATTACTGCAGTTATGATCAGAAATAGATACATGGAGAAAAACAAAACAAACAAGGACTTCTGGGGGACAAAGCAATGGTAAAACAAGAGTACTTGAGTGCCCCAGCATCAGTGATGCTCTGCAGAGCCACCAGGGTAAGAAACAGTACAAATTGATACTCACAGAACTTCACCAGGAGGTACCTGGTTTCCTTCAATGCTCTGTCAAAGTTGCTCTTTTTCAGCAAGAGGACACTGTTCTCCTTTTTCATTTTGGGGAGCTTGTCTTTCTTTAGCTTTGCTTCATTTGGGCTTATGGTGTCTGCTGCCAGGAAGCCTGTAAGAAATAGCAATAGAAGAAGGAAAAGCAAATGTGTCTTCATCGTGTCCTGCCTTTATCCAGATACTGAGAAAGAAAGAAACAAAGGAGCACTAAGCAGCAGGTTTTGCTGCTCATGTGGCTGTGGCTGTATCAGCCAAACCAAGAGGCTGATAAGGTTGATAGAGGAGTCTACCACCAGTGGAGCCAACTGCACCTTTCCACAGCAAGGTTAAGACAGTTACCCATTTCTCGATCTTGAGCAATGTTTGGGGGGAAAAGTATCTGTGGGAAAGTTGGGTTTAGTGTTTCTGTAACAAAACCTTGGGGAGAGGGTGAGAGAGAGAGCACAGGAGGAAATGCTTGCAGCCAGTGCACTTCTGTAATTAGACACCCTGGTGTTGTCAGTGTTATGTGGTGCAGGGCTGCAGACAAAACAGCAGGTGAGGTACCTGGGACAGCATTTGAGGGTCGTCTCTTGCACTTATGGAGCTACTTATTGTGGATCTGACTGAGAGTGTGCTGGTCAGGGAAAAACTCTCATTGTTTTGTATATGTAATTTTAATATCTGCATCTCTTCAGTGTCTTGTCTCTGAGGCTCCTTTCTCTGCTTAAGTGCCAAGTTGTAGCTCAAGTAAGATACTAGTTTGTGGGTTAAACCATTGGTTTTCAGTGGTAGCACAATTTCATGCAGCTATAATATCAGTGCAATAAACCAAAGGGACTAAATGTACTATTTCGTCTTTGGATAGCTATCAACCATGCCTGTGAACTACAAGGCCTTTCTAGCTTGTCTTTTCAGAATGTTTTAAAAATTATCTTACAAAAATATTGAGAAGGTACCAATTACTAAGAAATTATTATTTCTGTAAATATCTGTAATTGTAGCAGAAACATTTTTGAGCCTTAAACTGTGCTGAAATTTGTGAACTGTGCCCCCAGAGCTGCAGCCTCTCTATAGGGGATCAGGCATCCATCCTAGTGGTTGTTTCAGTTGAACAAAGGATGGAGCTGACCTGGGGACAGGTGGGTCTGGATTAGTAGAACCAAATTGAGAGATAAAGGAATTCCTCCAACAATGACTCTTCCTTCTCGAGGAGTAGTAAGTGCTGCTCTGCTTCTCATGCCCTTAGCAGACTTTTTATCCAGGAGGGCACCACTAAAAGGAAGGAATGTTTTCATGGTAGACTCCATTTTCTGGAAGGTGAAGGATCTTGGGTGACACGTTGCTTTAATTTAGGTTGTTTTCGCACCTGGTGTGAGTGGGGCTGGATTTCAAGAGAACTCTTTCCTAAGTCTCAAAGGGTTTGAGTTGTAATGCACCTTAAGATGTGCTCTATTTGTACTTGTACAGGGTGCCTAATGAAATCAGAGGGAGCTGTGTATTCAGGCTACTTGTAAGATAAGATCACACATAAATACAGATTCAGCGATCAGGTACTAAAGGAGAGGGAAAAAAAAAAGGCAGAAAGATAAGAGTCTCCCATTTGACTTTGTGGTCTCTTTCTCTTCATGACAGGCTCTTTTCCATAGACATCTTTCAAGTAACATCTTAGTAAGGTTAAAAACCATCTTCTAGAATTACAGGTTAAACTGACAAGGCCTGTTTGATCTGAAAAGGCAGTGTTGCAAGCTCAGAACGCAGCCTAAGGCTCCCAGAGCACAGGTAGGATGATAGAACCATTTGAATAGAGAGCTAGTTTCCCCCTATCTGCCACTGAAATAATAGCAATCAACTTAAATCCCTCCTGAAAGCCTCCTACCAGGAAATAGGCACCATTTTGGAAGGGCTTCTAAGCTTTGTGTCCTGGAAGGAAACTACAGTGAAAGGAGGATCATACAACAGTCCACCCTGCCAGGACAGTTTGCAGTGAGGAAAGAAGTGGGATTTTGCAGAGCTGAACAGAAAATTGAAACTGGTGGAGTAAAATGTTTTCTTTTAGACATACACCTGTATATTGTACAGGAAACACTAGGAGAAACTGGAAGTGCTGGCATTTTCTTTGCGAGTTTGTTTTATGATCAGTATCTTTTCCCAAATTGCACACTTCAGCTGAACTGCAGAGCAAATGGAACTCTTTGGCATTTCACCTGTGCTCACCCACTGTTTATTTTGTGTTTATTCCATGTCCCCAAAGAAAATAGAACTCACAAGGAAATATTTCAGGGATTCATTGGTTTTGTTGGTGCATAAATTCAGTATGACTCGCCATCTAGTGCATATTTAAGGCATAGCATAATTACAGAGACCCTTTTAAGTCAAGGTGATGCTGTCCTCAAAGCACTTAATAACTAGTGCCATTTCATTTCTGTAAGCAGGCAGAGTAAAATATAAAATTTACAGGAATTAAGACAGATATTTAGAAAAGGACTGGTAAGTGAAATTTAGAGATGAGATATGAGAACCATTCATCAGCTGACAAAGTGGAGAAGAAAGATTCTAATGAAAAAGCAGTGCCCAATCTCTTTGACAGATCAGGAGGAGCATAAAGTACTAGGGGGAAACGAGGATGTGCACAAACAACCTATTTATTCAAGCTGGTTTGCATTAATTTATCCAATATCATAAACAAGACAGCATCCAATACCTGGCTAGTTTTAAATGTATTTTCTTTCATTTCAGGGGACTGATTCCTAAGCTGTATTCCTGACTTTTTCCCCACTGTCTGATAAAACATCATTTATCATGAGAACATTTGTTAAGTCATGGATTCCTCGGTGTCTGCAGATTCTCAGGTTGCCTTGCAGATCATTCCATGGATACAACAGGCTTCTGACGTCTCAGATTATTTCCCATTATGATTCTATAAACCAGTGTAAAAAGGAACTTCCAGAATACTTCAACTTTGCAAGTGATGTCTTAGATGAGTGGTCACAACTAGAAAAGGTAGTATTTTTCTTTTACTTTTTAGACATTGTGTTGTAGTTTAACACCAGCCAGCAACCAAGTACCACAGAGCTACTGGATCACATGATCCAGGGGGATGGGGAAGAGAATCAGGAAAAAAGAGGTAAAACCCATGGGTTGAGGTAAGAACAGTTTAGTAATTGAAAAAAAAATAACATATAATAATCAGCATCAGCATCATCATAGCAGTAGTAGTTGGAGACAAAGAAAGAGAGAGAAATAAAACCCAAGAAAGACATGTTATGCACAACACAATTGTTCACCACTCACTGTCCAATGCCCAGACAGTACCCAAGTAGTGATTGGCACCTCCAGACCAACTTCCCCCCAGGTTATACTGAGCAGGACATTCTATGCTGTGCAATACCCTTCTGGGCAGTCTGGGTCAGCTGTCCTGGCTGTGCTCCCTCCCAGCTCCTTGTGCACCTCCTCACTAGCAGACTGTGGGAAATTGAAAAGTTCTTGACTTAGTTGTTGCTAAGCAGTGCTTACTCTATCCCAGCTATAATCAGGACACATTGGAATAGGTCTCAGATGATACAAATCAGTTTTCCTGATGGATACTGGATAGGTCAGCTGCAGAGTGGAATGCACCATTTTGTTTTGCTTGTCAGAAATAGAGGTATCGCTTTGAGACTAGTCACCAGGGAGGATGTGCCTTGTCTGGAGTTATTTTATTTTGAAATGAAACCTTTTAAGCTTTGACTTCTTACTTGAATATCTTCTGTTGTGTTCTAGGATGGAAAAAAA